ATTTTCTACTATTCTTATTGCTGACTATATCCGTAGGGAAGTATTGTGATGGTTGAAGGTACTGATTTTCTACTATTCTTATTGCTGACTATATCCGTAGGGAAGTATTGTGATGGTTGAAGGTACTGATTTTCTACTATTCTTATTGCTGACTATTCCACTTTATTTGTAGGTGTTGTATTACTGACATCAAGTGAAACAAAGCCACTTTATTTGTAGGTGTCATATTACTGATATCAAGTGAAACAAATCCACTTTATTTGTAGGTGTTGTATTACTGACATCAAGTGAAACAAAGCCACTTTATTTGTAGGTGTCATATTACTGACATCAAGTGAAACAAAGCCATTTTATTTGCAGGTGTCATATTACTGACATCAAGTGAAATAAAGCCACTTTATTTGTAGGTGTTGTATTACTGACATCAAGTGAAACAAAGCCACTTTATTTGTAGGTGTTGAATTACTGACATCAAGTGAAACAAAGCCACTTTATTTGTAGGTGTTGAATTACTGACATCAAGTGAAACAAATCCACTTTATTTGTAGGTGTCATATTACTGACATCAAGTGAAACAAATCCACTTTATTTGTAGGTGTTGAATTACTGACATCAAGTGAAACAAATCCACTTTATTTGTAGGTGTTTTCACGGTGGATCACTGACATAAAGTAAAATATATCTTCTATGGTCACAGAATTCTGATTCCAGTTTACTGTTAGCTATTACGAGTTTAATCTCGAGACAAAAACTATGTTTCAAGAACAACTGTAGTTTCATAGAATTACCTATTTTTGTTTCCTTTCTTTGTTTGTCTGAAGCTGTACATTGTCCAGAAATCGATGAAACACCTGGTCTTTACGTCAGCAACCACGATACTGAACTTAATACAAAAACAACGTTTTCATGCCAACATGGCCAGACATTGATTGGTAGTGACCAAGCCCTATGTCTCTCCTCAGGTCACTGGTCATCGGATATTCCATACTGTAAAGGTTAGTGGCTGGTTTCAAACCCGAGATTAGAGACTTATAAAAACAAAATGTTTACTGTCCAGTTTTATCAGCTTTATACAAGGCACTTTTTTAATGGAGCTATCTTTACTCTTGTCTGTTTCTTAGTTCCACCACATTTACTTCTTTGACTTTAGCTTAATTTTCACCTTATTTTTTATAATATTTTAAAATTGCTATAGACTCTTGTGTTATGAGCTACAACCACCAATATTTATTCTGAACCTAGAGATATATATATTCTTCGCTTCTCATTTGTATTATTCATTTTGTTTATTTAACAGGTAACAGTTATGACATGTTGGTTTATGGTGTGTGTTTGAGAGGATGGGATCGGATTTAATGTTAGTTACACTTTATTTCAGAGTCCGGTTTATGTTTACCTTTTGTTTTGATTTGTAGTTTCAGCTATGATGTATTTTTGAACTTTATTTAACCAGAAAGCACAGTTTCTACTTAGTTTGACGAGGGAATGGATTGTATCCTTCATTTATACACTTCACATTATTGTTGTGGTATAGGTTTATACACTTCACATTGTTGTGGTATAGGTTTATACACTTCACATCGTTGTGGTTTAGGTTTATACACTTCACATTGTTGTGGTATAGGTTTATACACTTCACATTGTTGTGGTATAGGTTTATACACTTCACATCGTTGTGGTTTAGGTTTATACACTTCACATTGTTGTGGTATAGGTTTATACACTTCACATTATTGTGGTATAGGTTTATACACTTCACATTATTGTGGTATAGGTTTATACACTTCACATTGTTGTGGTATTTTATTTTTCATTTTGTTGTGGTATGAGTTATACACTATATTTTTGTATAATTTTCAACTTCATATTGTTGTAGTATAGGTTTTCACTTCATATTGTTGTAGCATAAGTTTTTCACTTCATGTTGTTGTTGTAGTGTAGGTTTTCATTTCATATCGTTGTAGTAGTGTAGGTTTTCACTTCATATTGTTGTAATATGTTAAAGTTTATGAGTTGTTGTTGTTTTGTCTGATGTTACAATAACCAACGGGAATAATTTCTTAATATTGACCTTTTAGGCTTAGAATGCCGAGAACTGAGAGAGGATGTTGGAGGACTTTTGACTATTCATGCTCCTAGTCATGAAGTCATGGCTAAGGCTTCCTTTTCATGTCCACTTGGATACAGACTGAGTGGAGAACTTGAAATTACTTGCCTCGAAACTGGAGAGTGGTCAGGACCTGTACCACATTGCAAATGTATGTTAACGTTAGTATTTCAGGTCATATTTAGATTGTGTAGTGGTACAACAGGTCACATTTAGATCTTATGGTGGTGAAAAAGGTCAGGCTTAGATTGAATGGTGATGAAACAGGTAATTAAACAGGTCATGTTTAGATTGTGTGGTGGCACAACAGGTCATGTTTATATTGTGTGGTGTTGGAACAGGTCATGTTTATGTTGTACGGTGTTGGAACAGGTGATGTTTAGATTGTGTGGTGGTGGAACAGGTCATGTTTATATTGTATGGTGTTGGAATAGGTCATGTTCATATTGTATGGAGGTGGAACAGGTCATGTTTATATTGTATGGTGTTGAAACAGGTCATGTGTATGTTGTATGGTGGTGGAACAGGTCATATTTATGTTGTATAGTGTTGGAACAGGTCATGTTTATGTTGTATAGTGTTGGAACAGGTCATGTTCATATTGTATGGAGGTGGAACAGGTCATGTTTATATTGTATGGTGTTGGAACAGGTCATGTGTATGTTGTATGGTGGTGGAACAGGTCATGTTTATATTGTATGGTGGTGGAACAGGTCATGTTCATATTGTATGGTGGTGGAACAGGTCATGTTTATGTTGTATGGTGGTGGAACAGGTCATGTTTATGTTGTATAGTGTTGGAACAGGTCATGTTTATGTTGTATGGTGTTGGAACAGCTCATGTTTATGTTGTATGGTGTTGGAACAGCTCATGTTGGGCTATATCCATATTTTAGGAACCTTAATGCTATTAGTTTCGGTTGTGTGTTGTATAACAACTATGGATCTGTTCCTCTGTCATTTGTTTTTGTATTATTCCAGGCATACCCACCTGCACGTATCCAGGGACATCTAAAGGAGGAACAATTTCGAACATCAAATTTTTCTACGATATTAACGAAAATGTGACTTTCGACTGCGAGAAGGAATTCAAACTCAGGGGACATCGTGTGCTGTACTGTCAGGAAGATGGACAGTGGTCAAGTGTCATCCCTACTTGCTATCCTATAAGAAGAGGTTAGGGAAGTATTCATTGTTATCAGCAGGAGACGAGTACGGTGACGTCTCCGTGCAAACTTCGACAAGCCGAGAAATATGTTACATTAATTTCAAAATGATAAAACAAAAATAAATAAAATAACAACTAAAAACAATGTGTAGAGTGACATATACAAGTTGTTTGTCGGAATCTCTTGAGAATAACGATTAATATAAATTATTTAACATCTTACGTTGCATATAGTTATTGACTTCACAATTTATTTTTTCGGATAAAGAAGTCACCAGAAGCTCGCGGGTTTTGAACATTTATGGAGGTTAAATCAAAATGTCTGTTCCTTACGTTTATGTTAATTCGATTAAGTCAGTGATATGAACAATGCAAACAAAAGAAATTTTACATTCTGAAACTTAGTATGAAATACTTCCCTACGGATTTTGTTTCACTTGATGTCAGTAATATCAACACCTACAAATAAAGTGGCTTTGTTTCACTTGATGTCAGTAATACAACACCTACAAATAAATTAGCTTTGTTTCACTTGATGTCAGTAATACAACACCTACAAATAAAGTGGCTTTGTTTCACTTGATGTCAGTAATATGACACCTACAAATAAATTACCTTTGTTTCACTTGTTTATTTGTAGGTGTTGTATTACTGACATCTTTCCGTTGTGTTGTCGTGTTATTTCAGTGGTGTCTTGTTTGTTTGTAATTATGCAAACAGCTACACAATGGGCTATCTGTGCTCTGCCCACCACGAGTATAGAAACCGGGTTTCTAGCGTTGTAAGTCCGCAAACATACCGCTGTGCCACTGGGGGGCTTAGTAGTGTCTTTCCATTGTGTTGTCGTGTTATTTCAGTGATGTCTTTCCATTGTGTTGTCGTGTTATTTCAGTGGTGTCTTTCCATTGTGTTGCCGTGTTATTTCAGTGGTTTCTTTCCATTGCGTTGTCGTGTTATTTCAGTAGTGTCTTTCCACTGTGTTGTCGTGTTATTTCAGTGGTGTTTTTCCATTGTGTTGTCGTGTTATTTCAGTGATGTCTTTCCATTGTGTTGTCGTGTTATTTCAGTGATGTCTTTCCATTGTGTTGTCGTGTTATTTCAGTGATGTCTTTCCAACATGTGCATAAATTAATTTTAATTAGGCTGTATTGTAATTGAGATATCGTTTATCGTACGATGAAGTTTTAGATAATTATTTTATCGCTGTAATATTTTTTTGTTTTAATTGAAATCTTCGTATATAATGTTTTCAAACTTTAGCATAGCTTCCCGATCTTGTTATCTTTTAGCTCTTATTGTGTGACCAATAAGCTACTGAAACATTTCTCAAAGAATAATAAGTAATAAGGACAAAATTGAAACACCTGTTCCCTAGAGTGTTTTATTTTATTTGTTTTTCTAACTAATCCATAACAGTAAAGTTTAAAGTTTCATACCGCTGACTGTTGTTGTTGTTGTTCTACTGTGTTCGTAGTATTAGACTCGTTAAAAGAATTATTCAAAAGTTTTTGTTTGATGCACAAAAACTATACAATGGGCTATCTGGGCTGTGCCAACCACCGGTATCTAAACCAGCATTTTAGTGCTATAAGCTAATTAGGAATTTGAGGGCAGAAACAATATTTAGGTTCTAACCAACCAACCGATCTTTTGTAGTGGAAAAGCCTCCAACAATCCTGTTTCGCCATCACGTAGGGCCGATAGCCCAAAGTAACGATGGCAAACTGGTGGTGTATCCTGGTACCGTTCTTCATCTGGAATGTTTGTGGATTCGGAAGTATGGAACTCCAAAGTGGGAAGTCAGCCATTCCTACAGGAAGTACCCAGAAGGTACCATTTTTGTAAAACCCGAAAAATTTTTACCCAACATTTAACTTTAGATAATTTGAACTTCAACTCGAGGTGCGTTATATTAACCAGTTAAAGACAACTACAAGTTGGTTATCTCATGTCTGTTAAGTTCTGGTTCGTTTTCAGAATTAATGACAGCTTTTTCTAGTAAATATTTCAATAGGTGAAATGCCCTTGACTTCTAGGTTGGACAAACGAGCCAGGTCGTGATCCCCAACTAGAGTACCGACTGTCCATTTATAACGCTCAGAAGAATGACTCTGGTCAATTCACGTGCATAACCCCTATGGGTCAAAGGCACCACGTGGATATCGTCATTAAAGGTTAGTTTGCCGTTTGCTATAATTATTAAAGTAGAACAAAGCTAATTTATTTGTAGGTGTTGTATTACTGACATCAAGTGAAACAAAGCTAATTTATTTGTAGGTGTTGTATTACTGACATCAAGTGAAACAAAGCTAAACCACTGAAATAACACGACAACGCAATGGAAAGACACCACTGAAATAACACGACAACACAATGGAAAGACACCACTGAAATAACACGACAACACAATGGAAAGACACCACTGAAATAACACGACAACACAATGGAAAAAACACCACTGGAATAACACGACAACACAATGGAAAGACACCACTGAAATAACATAACAACACAATGGAAAGACACCACTGAAATAACACGACAACACAATGGAAAGACCACCACTGAAATAACACAACAACACAATGGAAAAAACACCACTGAAATAACACGACAACA